GAAACACTTCTCGGTTTCGTACGGTATACTTCTTATCTGTGGCGTGATCGCTCTTAGCGTTAATCTATATTGGGTGAGTACTTCGCCTTGTCTATAAAGACAATATTCTGTTTAATAAGAAGAATAAAACCTGGAAGACCTCCTTTTAGCTGTCGCAGTCGATACATAGAGTGGATGATCAAATGCTTATTTCTTCGGCGAGCATTCTTTCCATCTTCATGTACATGTTCTATATGAATTATTTAATACAAGATTTAAACAATGGCAGAGAATGTATTTTTACAGCTTTGTAAGTTCCAGCATAATTCCTGCGTTATTAGCAGCAGTCCATCCGTGCACATACCGGAAATTATCACTATTTACATATTTTGTTCCATTGGAATGCATGTTATTCAATGGAAATTTGTAGATACAATAGCGAATGGTACAGAACGCCAGTATCCATGCAAAAGTTGTTACTGTTCATAATGTTAAGAACACTGAAGGGTGAAACGTTCAACCTGCTGGTTGTGTTCACACCATCGCTCGAAGGTTTCGCGACTGTACTTATCGCTTCAGTTTGCTGAATAATAAAAGTCTGACAGTAGCTCGATTGTATGTATCTGTATTTTCAGTTAGTAAATACGTCAGTATCATATTTCATGGTGATGTACTCCATCCAGTGATATCGTTACCGAGTGATAATGGATTACCAGTCGTAGAAAGCTTGTTGATCGACAAATCAGTTCCATTGTACAGCGATGTAACACTTTTTTATTGCACTATTCAATAAACGTTCATTTGTGAGGAAAGCTGGGTGAATTGTATATTATAAATCTGAATTATCCCTCAAACACTTCACCTGTGTGACACGTATCATTCTCATTGTACACATCCGTGCGCTTCATACACACAGAGTTGATCGAAGTCTGCTCGAGAAACAATTTCACCGGACCAAAGAGCCGATGGTGGTTGAAAATTCGTGAAAAAAATACATTTCTGCAACCTATAATCTCTTTAATAACTACGATTTTGCGAATGTGAGGTAACAGATCAATCGTGTTCATCTTTTTCGGTTTCTATTATGCCTCCACCGAAGATTTCGCAGAGGTAAATTGTATTCTGATAATTAATATTCTTATCTTGATTATTGAAATCTGCTGATAATTCATTTTTCAGTTATTGCGAATAGCAGCTTCCTATTTCATGATGTCCTTACACCAGTAGAACAGTTTACAGGTGGATATCATCTACAGACAATTTTATACGAGTAATAAGTAAATATTCCCGAATCATAAAATAATATTCAATCATATTTTAGTGAATTTTCTGTTCAGAAATTGAAAACAGACGTGGAGATATCTNAGGTACCTCAAAATATGAACGAGTTGCTTTCTGCACTTGCCGTTTAATTCTTGAAATTGTTTTAAGAGATATATAATATTAATTATTATTAACGAAGGCTTGATAAGAGATCGTTCGATTAACATTTGCACATGTATCGTTAGGATAACAGTTATCCCAGTTCATGTTGCGTATACGTAAAGAAGCTTTTCTTATCCGTAAGGAAGACTGCATACGTTTCGAACGATCTCTCGTTGATCTTGGGTCTCGTTGATTACCGAGCAAACGCTTCACGCTTCGTTTGCCAGTCGATCGCCTCCCCGTTTTCGTCGAAGATCGACGTTGACGGGAGTGGATAGAGAGAACAGACGCTTGTAATTTCACGCCGCTGCTTCCCGACCAGATTCCAAGGCGATTTGACTTTTTCGTCGAGGCCGTTGTTCCCCAGAACGATGAGAGGCTCCGAGAGAAATTTCGATCCCTTATCGTGGACGACTCCGACTGAGGAGAGCTGTTCTTTCTGCCAAAGGGGATTACAACGTTTCGCGATGTTTGATAATGTCAGTGTCCGATTACCTGTGGTCAATGTTAGAAGATGCTAATCCCAGATCTCGTTTATAAGAGATGTTCGTCAAAAATAAAATAAATAATAATTTATATCTGAATTTATGCTATTGTTAATACAGTAATATAATATATAATTCGTACGAAAAGCTAAAAATACTGTAGATAATTGAATGTGTGCAAGAGATAGAAACATGAAGAGGATTTCAAGAATAGAGACATTACACGAAACGCGTTGCGGCACTGGCAGTGCGTTACCAGAATTGCAACTACACCCACTGGCGAGCAAAAGAAACGCGTGCTGCATCGAAACGCTATACTACGTAATGCACTTTCATACTGTATAGACGTAGAGCCGTGGTAGCACGCCTTCTCACAACCACAGGTTTCGCTTTATCCTACGATCTCGCGTTACTACGTAGAATTCTGAACAAACGCCAGCAGAGAGACTATCGTTGCCAAATCACTGACGAAATGTTCTTCCATCATCCAGGTTATAACAAAAGCTTTATAAAGAATCGAATTGTACATCCATGGGATTTTTCATATATTTCTTCATGTATAAGTGCTATCCAATTTCACCACCTCTCATCAATTACGATCGATATTATATTAAATAATTATGAAAAATATTAACTTGGGCGTAGCAAGTACGTTTGCATTAATTTAAGCTAATCTGGAATCTGGAAGTAGCTACGTTAACGATGCTCTCCTGGAGCAGCATAAAAAGTGCTCGTTTCCCCTGCAAGCCACCCCCTCGAGAAGGCGAAACCTCCGACCCTTCGAGTGGCGGGAGGGCGGAAAAGTGGAGCATACGAAACTTGTTACTCACGAAAGTGCTTCCGTGACTATCTTCTGAGTCTCGGCCTGTGTAAGTACAAGTGGCTGGGAAGCACGCGAGTATCGTTCCGTGAACGGCTACCCGCTCCCCATACTAATCATATCCGTCTAATTCGTCTCCTGCCTGCGAGCAGTTTTGTTCCAGGATATAGTTTCCACGTGAGAAATGTTATTAGCAGCGCTGTCCGATTGATCAGTTCTCCGAAATAAAAGAGATATAATAAAAATTTCGTTAAGAAAGTTTTGCGACAATGATTGATTCTCAATTTCACATTAGACGTCAGTCAACTGTACATCGAAATTGAATTTCGTGCTAAAACAAGATTCCGAAGAAATAATAACTCTCCGGATCATCCGGATTGAGGATATTCTTATAACAAGCGAAGATTTTCGTGCCGAGTGGTCCCGACTTGGAACTTTATTAAGAAGGTCAAAATTCTTGAAAGAAGAAGAAGAACGAATGCTCGGTTATTACACCTAAATATATCTCCGAAGGATCCTTGGCCTTCTTTTCCTTCTTCTTCTTCCCGTTTTTTTTTTTGCTATAATACGCTATTATTGCCTGCTCGTTATTGCCGCTCGGCGCAATATCAAGCTGCTCATATAACTGCTCTCTTCCGAGCACCTTTTGTATCTTGAACATACAATTTCATCTGGACAACTGTTTTCACAGAGTATAAGAAAATGCTACGATTATTTGCTGCTTGTAAAACATCATATATCTTCGGTTTCTTCATTAATTTTGTAATATCCCTTAACGATCGATTTATGATTTCCCTGAGATCAATTTTTACGAGACTTCCCTGAGTCTGTGAATGATAAAATCGAGTCTCGAAGCATCTGGCGCTGGAAAGCGGATGGGTATTGTTGCTCGAGGGCCAATTTCAACTAGACTACACCCGTTCCACTCCTTCACTCCTGATTTCCCTTAAGCAGCACCATAGACTCGACCTTTCCCACGATGCAACGGCAATAATCATCACAATTCCATTTTATCGTCCATGAACCAGGATACTGGGTAAACGGAATGGAAGCCTGGAAAAATCTTAGGCGGATCCTGCGAGTGGAGTTCTTTTTCCCTGGGCATTAGGTGGACATGTTTGGAGAACGTCGCGTCGTTTGCCGGAAGTGGTTGCCCTTTACTTTACTCACCCGGCAACGAACACGACTTTTCAAGTACCAGACTGCACTTTCAAAAACGAGATTAGATCCGAGCAATAATGAATGAACAGGAAGGAAACAACTGCGAGATCGATTCTTCCGATGAATCAAATCAACGGATGGAGAATTGATCGCGAAGGTCAATCATGGAAAAAGAATTGGGAACACGGCAAGGAGGCAGCGGGACGTAACGCGTATCGAATTGATCGTGATGGTAGATTTAAAACAGCTATCCAGCACGAATTCGCAGGAACGCAGTAGTTATATGTTTCCTTTTTTTTCTCCTTCTCTTTTGCAAATTTAATTTTCGCACGGGGCGGCCGCCGGTCAAAGGTTTCGGGGCGGACCGTAATCGAGGTAATTGAAAACTTACCGTCGCTCCCGCGTTATTGCTTTTTAATTGTCAAATGATATAACGTGATACGTGGAAAGTTCGTGGCTGCAACGCGACAGAATTCAGTATAAATGAGACCGTCGTCGAAATAAAACCTATTATTTAATTCAGCGTCGGTATAATCGGAATTAAACGTTATAATCGACGTTCATAACGGCTGGACCGGCTGAATACGGTGGCAGCGGGGGTGGCGAGAGGCGATTATCCGATAATCGCGTTGTTTGAAATACATAAGTTTCAATCTCGTCGGGCAAATGAATATTCAAACCGTTCGCGTCGTACGTACCGAGCCGTCCGACCGTCCCCGACGATTAAGAACGAACGATAGACACGATTTCCGATTGGAAATATATTTATTGACCGATGGTATTACTTTTCTATATGCGGTGTCCGCGGGGGACGGAAGTCTTTTTTTTATAAACACGGAGAAGTTGCGCGGCCGGGCAACAAGGCAAATTATTATCGGCAATATCGTTTTCGCCCGGCCGGCCGGCCCGAGCCTCGATTGTCATCGAGTCATCGCCGAGATCTGACGTTTTAATTAAAACTTCTCGTCGACGGAGTGCGAAACGTTTCCTGCGGGCCACCGGAGCGGAAGAAGGAAACGAGATGAAAAGGAAACCGGGCGAGCTAATCGACGATAGTACATATCAATCGATATCAGTAGTGGCCGAACTGAAAAAAATTCCAAGTCGTATTTAAACAGAGTTGAATAAATAGAATGAAAAAGATTCAATGAATCCCCGCCGTGGCGAAAGTAATCTATAAAGAAACGTTCCGCTATCAATCAGCCGGACGGCAAAGAGAAATTCATTTCTCCTGACGTTAATTAACCCTCTCTCTAAATAACACCATAAATCAAATACAGCATACTCTGCGCACGTTGCATGTCATACAACCAATTATTATGTACACACGTTACATACAATATTCCAGGATATGTACAGATCCGATATTCAAATATTGATCAGTTCTCTTCATTCTGCGCTCTATCATAAAATCTTGATGCAGAAAAAGAGTTTACCTAAAAGAAAAAGGGGGAAGGGAAAAATCGGGTTAAAGGCCGACGCCGGCTGGCTCCGTTCTAACGAAGTACCGGTTTAATAAGAAGGCCGCGCTGTTAGGTCCTAAGTAAACGAGTTAATCCGACACACCTGTCGAACCGGAAACTGTAGCAGCATCCGATAGACTACATCGTCTAATATATAGATGTATACACGTCGAATCCTTTTAACTTAACGACCTCGTAAACCAGCCGGCCTATTACTACATCGATCCTCGCTTCCTTCCACCCTTTTTTTTATTCCTTCACACTTTTTACAGCCTGGATTGATTTATAAACGACGTGGAAAAACTGATCTGACGTTCCTTCATAATAAATTGTTAAAATCAACTAATTAGTCTATAAATCCTTTCCCTTGCTGATATTTATTTAAAATATATTTCACGTTCTAGCTGCTGGTTTATAATAATGTTATACCTTTTTAATGTGTCCATGGTTCTGACTTTGATTTAAAGTGGAACTCGAAATATAAGCATTTTTCTTCGTGTCGACTGAAGTGACAGTTTATAGAGTAACTATAGTGATTTCCTTTTATTTTTCTTGTTGCAGAATTCTGAAATATCGCTGTTCGAGACGAATATTCGTTTCATGGGAAGTCTGTTGGCCTGTTACTCCCTCACCGGAGACGTGATGTTCCGGGATAAGGCCGCCGAGCTTGGCGAACGGATGTTGCCAGCTTTCCAGACGGAAACCGGAATTCCTCATTCCCTCATCAATCTCCATACCGGGGTAAGTTTCGGGATTTCCCGACCACCTACCCCTACCACGTTTTAATGTTAATCATTTCTAATCCGATGCAATTTGCATGACGATAGTGTTTAGGAACGGTCAAACCAGCTACCGACAGATTCCGATTAAAATGGAATTCGTAGAAACATGTTAATCATGTTCCCGTAATTGCATATCTTGAATTCATCGATTAGATATTTAAAAGGCGTTTAGTATTATTTCTCGTTGTATTAAACCCGATTCGACGCTTCCAACCGAGAATAACCGAAGTATCATAGAACCATGGAATAATTTCCAGCGAGGTGGATTCGGGAAACAGTTTCGATTATTAAATTTTCCAATCTTCGGGCAATCGAGGAATCGTTCCTTGGCAGCCAACTTCGAAAATTCGATTAACCGTCGCGGTAACCGAATCGTTTTAATTATCGCCGTGGTAATTCCCGACCGGGTTTAATATTTATCTTGCGGAGTCGCTCGTATCTATAAACACGGCACGAGTACGGTCTTTTGTTATTTCGTTTAATTGGATCCCCGTCTGGATCCAATCGGTTCCCCCCCTCGTCTCTTCCGGGAAATCGTCTGACGTTCGGAAAATTTTTGCAGGCGAGCAAGAATTACGGCTGGGCGAGCACTGGTTGCAGCATCCTGTCCGAAATTGGCACGATGCACCTCGAGTTCACCTACCTGAGCGACATCACCGGGAATCCGGTTTTCAAGAGCAAGGTGGAGAACGTGAGGAAGGTATTGAAGAACATGGACAAACCGAAGGGTCTCTACCCGAACTACATCCACCCGAAGACTGGGAAATGGGGACAGCGTGAGTGTTTAATCAAATTTGTTCGACCTCCTCCAAGGCTAATTATGTCTTCTTAGATTTTATTACAACGATGTATCCCATTTGCGTTGCATCTCGCGAAACGTAATAGGATTAAAAATTGCGTTTTTGAAAATAATTAGTCTCGAATTATGGGATTATAGTAGTTCATTTCACGATTCGCTCTGTGCGTACGGAACTCTGAACAAACACGATACTGCCCCGTTTTTAATCATTTTTGCCATGAACCGAGTGTGTATAAAACATGAAATTAAAAAGTGGGGCAGGTGGCGATCGATCAAACCGAAAAGGAGAGGAGCGAAATGTCGGATGTAAATACAGCCGGTTGGTTTATTACAGTAATTTCATTTAATAAATCTCGGATCGTTGACCATAGGATTTCGGGGTGAAATAGATTTTTAATCTGACGGCTATCAATTATATCGGAATAGTTTCTGGAGGACAGAGAGAAGGGGGCAAACGGGAGTGTCCGCTCCCGTGGCAACGGGTGCGGCGCGGAGTGACGCTCCTCGGCTTCCTTTTGCGCTCCCGTCTTCTTCTCCAGCGGTAAGACCGGCGCCTCTTTGCCTTCGTCTTCCAGCCGAATATCGCATTTATCATGCCTCGCATCCCCCCGGGCGCTAAATCCTCTCCTTCGCCCGTTGTTCCGCCGACTTTCACCCCTCCCTCACGTGTTTTCCCGTCGCGTCGCATATGACGATCCACCCGGAATGGAATATTTATCATCGCCCTGCCACCGAACCGTCCACCCCTCTCCTTTGTCCATTTTATTATTTTTTTCTCTCCCTGTTTCCCTGCCCGGTTATTTTTGCTGCTCGTTTTCGCACGATCGGGCGACCGTCAGGTCTACGAGACTCTCCTTAAATTTATGGTTCTATTGAATCTCGAGCGTCGGCTAATTACCTGACCGTATTCTTTCCCCGAAGAAATCCGGAGCAGCTGCGAACCTCGCTGTCTTTGAAGTCTACGTCAACCGAGGCAGCTTGTTTAAGACAACGACGTCTTTTTTTAAAAAAAAATATTTCGCAAAGAAGTCTTCGACATTTATACTTTTTACAACGAAGAAGATGATCTTATTAATCCATTGGCCCGGATTCGAGTACGATTGATTTCGACGCAATAACGACGAATGACAGACTGGATAAACGCACGAGTGCCTCAAAGTAATCGTCCCGTTTGACTCGACGGACAAGTTGGTCCGCAGTTTCTCTCGTTTATCGCCGAGCTTTGTTTCTAGCTGAATGGAAAGTTCCCGGCGGGGGTGGAAAGCCGAGAATTACGGAACGGGGTAATCTCAGCGAGCGCGTCCTCCCCTGCTGTTATTAAGATAGAACCCTGTCCGCCCGGGGATTCCGCGGGATTTTCTAAGAGGCCCTCTTCTTTATCTTGAGACTCTCGAAACGTGTAACGAGCTTAAGGGTCGTCGACTAACGGACTCGCCAGTTGTCTTCATGATACTACTACCATTTTCGCACGTGATAAATTCGTCTAATTATTCCTATCTCCTTTCCCGGGATTAAACTGTTCCTCTCGTTTCATTTTTATCTACCGGCTACAAAGTTCCATTAGTAATTAATGTCTCCTGCATGTGCAATTCAAATAAATACTTAGGAAAGTGAAAAAGAAAATCGAGTTTATATAAGACGTCGGATTTATTTGCTAAAAAAAAAATACAGATGTATTTTATACTTCAAACGGATACAAAGAAAGTCTGAGAATAATAACACTGGAAATGTTTTTCTCTAATCGATAACAGATCACATGTCGCTGGGAGGTCTCGGGGACAGCTTCTACGAGTATCTGCTGAAGGCGTGGATCCAGTCGGGAAAGGAGGACGTCGAGGCCCGACAAATGTACGAGGACGCGATCGCCGCGATAGATCAGCACATGATCAAAACGTCGCCGGGCAAGCTGCTGTACGTGTCGGATCTGAAATACGACAAGCTCGAGCACAAAATGGGTCACCTGGCTTGTTTCGCTGGTGAGCTTTGAAGAACATCTCTTCTTTTATCCGAAGCGATAATTCCTTCCTTACAGAACTTCCTCCTTTAAAAACCTATCAGCTTATTTTTCTCTTTGAAATGAAACAAATGGTAGAAACAATTGTCTCGAAGCTATATCGATTTTCGATGGTTAATTATTTGATTGCAGGTGGTATGTTTGCGTTAGGCGCAAGAACCCTACAGAACGACTTCTCCGATAGGTATATGACGGTAGCCGAGGGTCTGACAAACACCTGCCACGAGTCTTACGATAGGAGCTATACAAAACTAGGACCGGAAGCTTTCCATTTCATCGAAGGCAACGAAGCGAAGAGTTTGAAGAACGGCGAGAAGTACTACATCCTTCGGCCAGAGGTAAATTCTAGTCGATCATACAGCCGAGTTAAAATGTTCCAATGAATTTGAAATAAACTGCGGTGATTAAGTTAACGTTAACGATTTTCACTTAACTTTCTAAATAACGAACGTCGTATAAAGGAGACAGTCAGAAACGTTTATTTCCGAGCTTTCGCCGGCCGGTAATGAAAGTTAAAATATTCAATTCAACGCCCGTCAGTAGAGACATCGCAAGCCGAAAATAATGTTCCGAGGTGGAATATTTTTCTTTCAGACCTTCGAGTCGTACTTCGTAATGTGGCGGCTGACGAAGGACCCGAAATACCGCGAATGGGGCTGGGAGGCCGTACAAGCGTTAGAGAAATACTGCCGTGTTCCCGGAGGATTCACGGGACTGCACAACGTTTACATGGTCGACCCGCCGCAGGACGACGTCCAGCAGAGCTACTTCTTCGCAGAAACTCTCAAGGTACGATTACGCTTTTCATCTTAAAATATACTGCATTCCATGAATAAAAATATAGGAATTATGGGTAGTACTGCATTTTATTTGTAATTATCCTATACAATCATTACGTAATGAATTATTATATAAAATTTCTGAAAAATGCATTACTGAATTTAATATACGACACTAACAAATAATTAAACTCCTATTTACGATTCCTCTCGGGCAACGCGAAAGACAGTTTACACCCTTCATTACAAATTATCATTTAATCTTTCCTCGGGTATATAAAACCGCATAGAGGCGGGGGTGAAACATTTCCATAGCGCTCGCAAGGCGTTTAAACTTCTATTAATTCGGTAGGAAGGGGTGGCCACGATCGTTAACAGGTGGCCGAGGCGTTCCTTTCGCATCATTACTAGTTTATCGCGAAAACCGATTAAAAACTGGTCTGTTATCAGTTGTAACGTCGCGTTAAAAATTTCATCGATTTATTAGACTTCGTACGTCGAATCCCGAAGGAACCTCATTAACTGCTCGTGTCTGCTAAGGCGAGTATTTCAAAGCCTCCGCGATGGCAGCTACGCGAATTGCAATTGCGAGGTCGTAACGAGAAGTCTGGAAGAAGCGAATCGAAGTTAAACTGAACTTTGTAGACTTGCTGAGAAGCGAAATTAAATGTTTCATTCTGATGTCGCCGATCTGTATTAGTTGTCAGACTTTATTAACCGACGGTATTAAACATAATGAATGATACTTGTAGTTTAATCGCTCTGTACATACTAAACTAGATTTATAATATGCAACCGTACAACAATTTATAGTATTAATCCTGGATGTAAAACAGTACGTATGACTTAAGGATGTATTGGCTATACAGTCAATCCCAAAAGTTTATGCACTTTAGAAACGCATTTTTTAAAAAGAAATCAGACGTTGGAAGAACATTGCTACTAATAAACAACAACAAAAAATTTTCGATTTTTCCGAAATTTTTCCAAGGGGTACCCCTTCAATTTCTTCCAAATTTTCGTTTTTCGCCAATAACTCCCAAACCGTTGGACATACGGAAAAATTGTATCAGACCTTTTTTGTAGAGGACGAAGAGATCTACAATTTCCATATAAAAATTCTTCGCTAGCGTCAATAGTTAACGAGTAATTTGCAAAAAACTGTTTTTTCGTTTTTCGTCCATAACTCTTTAAATATTGATACTAGCGAAGAATTTTTACATGGAATTTGTAGAGCTCGTCGTCCCCTACAAAATGGTCCTATATATGCCCCCCTACGTCCATCCGTTCGGGAGTTATTGACGAAAAACGAAATTTTTTG